AAAATATTTAATAATTAGAACATTTAATAATTAAGCTAAATCAGTAGTTCAATTCCTTAGTTTATTTATATAGTTGGTGGATTCCAATAATTACGTGAAAGCACAGAATTTGAAAGGTGGTTTTATTTTTTTTTTTTTTTTTGTTTTAAAAAATTGGATGTAAGAGAAAAAGAAAGAAATTTGTCTTGGAGTAATTCAGCATATTGAATCTTATATTTTGATATTTAGCTCTTTTATATAATTATAATTTTTATGTTCTTTTCATTTTTTCTTATTTTACCTAATTTTTTTAGCAAAAATAAAAGAGATAATTGCTTAAAATAATACTATCTTATATATATAATTATATATTTTTTCGGGTAGGGCCAAATAGGCAAGGCAGCATACCCTGCCTGTGAATTAGCCTGGCCTGAAGATGCCCATTTTTGCTTTTTACTGGGCTGGGCTGGGCGCTTTTCATGTGGGCTCGAGCGGGTTTATTGGGTATGCGGGCTTCATGCACACCTTACTTAGACATATGGGCTAAGAGTTGGCCTTTTTATGTTATTTTTTAAAATTTAAATTCTTTTCAATTGTTTTGAAATGAAAAATAGAACAATAAAACTTCTAAAATTTTTATTCAAATCATAAATAATAGTAAAATAAACTAATAGTGTATTGGGAAAAAAACATCAAACACCAATAAACTATTATCCAAATTCAAAGAAACCAAAATCAAATGAAACAGAGAAAGCAAAAAGATAAAAACCATGCAACTAAAAATTAACAATATCAATATGATTATTATCTTTATTTTCATTGCCATCATCAGGATCAACAGTATCTGATTGTTGTTCACTGCAAGTGGACTCTTTTTTAGTGATAAAAATATCAATGTTTTTGTTCTTCATCACCCTTATTTAAAATAAAATTATGTAGTATTATGATTACAAATGAGAGCCTAAACATTTGTCAGAATAAGAAAATTTTTATATTTTTTTAAGACATGTGAACCGATAGTGAAAGAAGATTTACTATACTATAGTGATTGAATGCTAAAAATATTAACTCTCATCCTTAAAAAAAATTACAAATTAATTTTAATTGTTCTTCTATTAGTCCAAGACATCTAATCCTTTTTAATTATATGGTTTAAGTATTTGTTTTTCTAATTTTTCTAGTTCAAACCTACCCATAAAAAATTAATGCGTAATTATATAAATATATTGATAATAATAAAAAATAAACGGAGTTAAAAGAACTGATTCTTTTATTTTTAAGACATATAAGGTTAACTTTTTTAAACCCAATTTTTTTTAAATCTCTTAAAATACCACTTGCACGAACTTAGATAGACTGGCCCAATGAAATTTTCTACCCATCCTGACTAGTATTCTTCCTCATGGGAAGTTAGAGTAACTGCTCTTTTGCTGGTCAAAAGGATTCCCCTTTCTTTTTAATTTTCTTTTTGATTTTTGTCAGTTTTCTACTTTTCTTCTAGTGCTTCAGTTGCTTTTTGACTTGTTCTTTGCAACTGTCACGGTCAAATCTGAAAACATCTCCTTTCAACCGTAGCCCCAGGCTTAGTGCGGTTCTTATACAACTTCCGGCTCGCTTGTTCCCTTCCTTCTGTCATTCAAGACACTTTCTTCAAATGCTTTACATGAGGCGTCTTCTAGAAAATTACCCCTAGTCTATAAATTATAAGATATTATGTAAAAATATCTAATAATTTCCTACTTTTTGCCCCCTAAAAAATGATGATCTTGGCAATTATTAGTTGAGTTTGACAATCCTTCAAATAATAAAAATAAAATGGTAAATTATCTTTTTACAACTTCAATCACATAACAACCTTTTTTCAAAGTGCAAGAAAAATATTAAAAATACCTTATAATTACAATACCAAAAATTCCTGTGCAATCCCACATAATCAATCTAATAACAAAAAAGTCTTGAGTTGTTAAATATATTATAACCTATTGTCCTTTCTTTCATCTGATTTTGTTATTGTTATACCACTGATCAGTTACTTTATAGGTGTTAATTTTTTACATGAAATTATAAAATAATCTTGTCAAAAGAGCATTTAAAATTCGTTTAGAATGGTTTATAAGTATATTTTAAATCATGGCCTATGAAATACTAAATCAATATATGGCCTATGAAATACTAAATCAATATATGAAAAATATTTTCTTGATTTATATAAATATATTTATAATGAAGCTCCTGGTCCAAAGCAATGGTCGCAATATGATAGCATACTTCTATCCTTTGATGAATTCTTTGTGGTGACGCACGCACGTCATGTCCTAAAAGGAACTTGATTGGCACGAAATATAACCGGGGATGGTCTCGCAGCTTCTCGAAGTTTGACCAACTTTCTTTACATTAATATTTGAGATCATTTCATGCAAAGGGAGTTCTATTATTGACGTATATAAGAAGGTATTTCTTAAGGGTGTTCATAAGATTCAGTAACCCGCTATACCGGTCCGTCCAAGTCTGTCAAAAAATTGTCCTGTCTAGACCAAAAAATACAGCCAAAAAATATATATATATTTTCGGGCTGGACTATTCATGGATAGGGCTGGGCTACGAATATGATATGCAGCCTTGCCTATTTGACTTTGTCCGAAATATATATAATTATTTATATTATAATATATATTTTTTCAGAATTATAATATATATAATGTAATATTAATATACTATATTTTATTATATCTCAATACGCAAAAAGAACATTACTCCCTTATATTATTAGACTTCATATTTTTAAAGTTCTAGTTTTTTTTAAAAAAAATACCATGTTTTTTAACTTTTTTAAATTATCTTGTTGTGTACTATGATTGTCTTTTAACTTTTATATGTTGATATTAGTTCTATATTATGAAATGATAGTAATTATACCAATTTGAATGTAATATATAGATATCTATAAATTATATTAAACTATAAGTTAACAATATAATTGAGCATGTTAATATAGCTTGTATTTTTTTATATGTTTTGTTATTTTCTCAACTTTGTGGAGGTTGATGCAAATCATTTAGACTTTAAGACTTTAATTATAATTTTGTATTGTCTTGTTTTTAATAAATTATGGATATTGTTAAATTCTTAAAAAATAGATATATGTTAAGACATACGGCAGTTTTATGACTCAAGTTATAAATTTGAGTAAGGAAAGTCCATAATAGCCCATCCCAAAATAGCATGAGTTTCTACTGGGTAGGGTTGGGCACCAAGCTGCATTTTACAGCCCACTCATTCTTCAGACTGGGCATCAGGTAGGGGTCCTGCCCAACCCAGCCTTGCCCATACACACCCTAGTATTTCTTATTGCTCTCTTTTTCAAAATCTTGCCTTCCTTACACCCAAAAACAAAAGCATACCAAATATAAATTTGTCTTTAACAAAGTAAACTAATGTTTAGCTTTTTACTTAATAACTTCCAAGGAGGGAGAATCATCTTTAACTTGAAATAATTAATGCTTCATTTCGGTCAAAACAAGATGCAATCCAAGACGGCTGGCTGTATTTCTTATCAAATTGATATGATAACTTGTAAAAAAATAACCATCCCTAATGTATGAGTTGGTAAGAATTAAATTTGATCCACATATAAGACTCACTTTGTAAATTATATTACAAAATAAGTCTTATATTTAGAACCTGAAGAAGATAATATTAAATGAGAATCATTCCATATTTATTATAATTAACTAATTTATCTAATTTTTTCATTCTATTCATATTAATTAAGTAACCCTTATATTAACAATTGAAAAGAGCACTTATTTTGAGGTGTTTCAGATTGATTTTTTCTTCTTGTTTTTTTTTTTTTGGCCTTCGTGTTTGAGATTGTTGGATGTTTATTACTTTAGCATTAAGCAGCATTGCCTCAAAGATCACAATGTGCAAATCTGACGTCAAATTTGATCAACTTTGTTTATTTTTTCAAAATAAAAGGTTCGGGTGAGTTATGCTTGAAAATTCACTAAAACTAGAACAAGTTTCACAGGTATGAAACACTTTCAAAAATGCTTTTAGATTAATCGGCAAGCACCTATAAGGCGAAAGATGCTTTTAGATTAAGCAGTAAGCACATATAAGGTAGACATAACGCATGGACAGGGATAGAAACAAGTCAGACAGCCTATCAGAGACCTATGGCTTGGCCTGTAGGTCTGTTTTTCAAAAGAAGCAGGTTCAAGCCTGTTTGAAGGCCGGTTTAACTAAAAACGACAGGCTTAAGCTCTTTAAAAAGTCTGTTAGGCCGACCTGGACCTGGTAGAAATTTATAATTATAATATATTTAAAAATGAGTTAATAGTACTATTGTTAATGTGCTCTTTTAATTTATTTTTTAATTTTAATACATAGTTAACAGCTTAATCTTTTCTTAGATTTTGAAATTTAGTTGACAACTAAGAATAAAAATATAATTTAAAATAATAATATCAATAAATAATGTGATATTTAAATCTTAAAAATATAAATAAAATAGGGAAGAAAAATTTTGTTTCAAGAATGATAGATTAATTAACTTATGTATTATGTTAATTAAATTATGATACCCTCTTTATTCATTGTAAAATTAATAGTGTTTTTCTTTTTATTTATTTACCTTAATTTAAATTTTTTTATGCATACTTAAATGTAGTCTTATTTCAAATTTTAACATACAATTACAACTAGTTTTCAATAATATTTTTGTAAATTGTAATTAAGATTTAAAATAGTATTTATAATATTAAAATTTAAATCAATGACGACTAAAAAATTAATTATTATGTAATTTTTTAAATCTTAGCCTTTTTTTTCCTTAAAAAACTGTAATTTAAACTTTTAAAAAATAAAGGCTTTTCAAGAAGTTTCAGGCCAGGCTTATGCTGAAAAATAAACTTGTAACAGGTCACAGATCAAGCTCAAGCCTCTTTTAGAACCTTGCTTGTTAAGAACAAGACCTGACCTGACCTGTTTCCACCCTTACGCATGGCCAAAAGAGGACAAGTTAAAGAATAAAATGAATCACATTAGGTGCTGATTATCGTTCTACAATATAAAGATTTAATCCTAGTTATATTGTTAAACTAAATCTCTTCCCTCCAAGGGGTAAAAAAATTGCCAAGAAAAAAAGGTCAAGTATATACAAAAAAGAATTTAGCTAATCTAATAATAATGATAATTTAATAATAACTAACATCATATCACCACCTTCTTTCCCTTAAATATCATGGCCGCCTTCATCATCTTTGTCACCAAACCCTTCTACAGAACAATCCAACCTTTCTTATTCAAAGCTTCCGGTCAGGGAATAGATAAAATCCTCAGTACAACGTAGCTCAGATGAATTCTTCTCCTCTTCAACTAAAAGAATGGAACTTTTAAATAAATTGTCCCAGTTTTACAAGCATAACACTTATGTCATCACTTGAGCCTCGTGAAACAGACAAATCTACGAGCCTTTTACAGGCCATCAATGGTTGTGCCATATTACTAGCCCCGTTGCAAAGAGGACGAGCAATATCCACAGCTTCTTGATTAGTAACCTGAAACAAGAATCAAAAGGAAAACCATTTTTCAGTAAAATAGTTCAGCCGTGATATTTATTAGGTAGAATTTTTCTGATAGGAACTGTGAACAACATCATAATTGAATGTTTGATTCTCACACACCTTATCCCATAATCCATCTGAAGCTAATATCAACAAGTCATGTTCAGGTTCAATCCTGAGAACTTTTGTCTCAGGTTCAGCTATCACCCACTGCTTCAAATACCGATCTCCAATTCCTCTAGAAACGGCCAGGGATCCCTGGATCCTCCAAACCCCACGGCAGAAATCAACATAGCCACCCTGCAAAGCAAAATTCAAACAACAGTTTAAGATTTTGAATTATCAAAAATGGTCGGCACAGACAAAAGATACTATGATGTGAAGATCAAGTGCTTACTGTGGTCTCAATTCTGTCCTTTTCATCTTCCCTTGAAGGTCTGTGATCAGATGTGAGGGCTTCTGCAACGCCACCACGGCTAATAACAGCACGGCAATCACCGGCGTTGGAAACAACAAGGTTCCCATTTCTAATCAGTGCTGTTGCACAGCAGGAGCCACCACGGAGATCCCCTTTCAAGAAATCAGAATCAGTGTTCAGGTAACCATGTTTCACTGCCTCCTCCATGTCATCTTCATCTCTTCTTGTCACTTCATCCATGACGTTCTTTTCTAAGTTTTGTGCAGCAAATTCAGCAGCTTTTGAACCTCCATGCCCATCAAATATGCCAAAGAAAGCCTGCCATAATGACATAAACAAATTGGTAAATAAGAAATTCATAACTTTAAGATCAGCCTAGTTAGCAACATTAAACATCCAGAACCAAAGTAGAATTCTGCAGACTTAAAATTAACACCCAAGCTATTTAATGGTCGTTCCCAAGTTTCCACATGCCTGTCAACTAAATCATAATTCCCCTAGTTCAATTGGATCTTTATAATTTTTGTTTTTACTGAGTAGCTATATCTGTCAAACCAGCCACTGATTGGCAGAGAGTCTGCTAATCCATCCTTTTGCATCACTTATTTCTATTGACACACATGATTGTGATTATTAAAAGGTCAAGCTATTAACCTACTTCTTTCTCTCCTTCAAAGTAAAACCAATATAGATATTATGCAGAAAAATCTGAAGTAGTTCTTCAAACGGCCAGATCGGACCCATATAAATCCGTAATAATAGAGGTCAATAATAAGCCTCAGATTTTTACCTGTTTGGGTTGTCCTTGAAGATTGACGGCAGCAGAATAACGATCTTCCATGTACTCTCGCCTGCCTCTCTTACAATACACAGAAAACCCATGCCCTTCAGCCTCTAGAACATCTCGAGCCACCGAAGAAGAAGGCGTCGCCGGAACCCCAAAAGTAAGGGACGAGACGGGAATATCAAGCCTGGCGGGCCTCTTCCTCTTCAAAACGGTACCGGTAGGCGAGGTGGAGGACGAAGGAGCGGAGACAGAGGCGGAATTGGAAAGGGCGGTGGGAGGAGGAGGCTTGAGGAGGCGGAGGCGGAAAGGCGAGGAAGGGGAAGAAGGCGAAGAAGAAGAAGATGAAACAGAAGTGGAAGGCTTGAGGTGAGACAGAGAGAGAGAAAGGGATTCCGGTGAGGAAGAGATTACTGAGGGTTTATTGCAAAAGAGGGAAGACGACGGAGAAAAGACCGGAGAATTAGAAACGGCAACGGAGCACGACATGGCTGAAGATTGAAGAAGAAGAAGAGGGGATTTGGAGGATCAATCAAAGTTGGGAATTGGAATAAAGAAAGAGTGAGGGAATGAGATGTGATCGTTGGGGTGTTGGGTTTGAATGTTGAATATGAATGAGTTGGGTGGAGAGAGAGAAACGAGAAAAGAGGGCACATATATAGGGAAGGAGTCGGTGTGGGGCCCAGTGGGACCAGGTAGGCTCGTTCTATTTGCGTGTTCTCCGATTCAACATTGTTGAACCTTTCTTTGACTCTTTTGCTTTGATTTTGATTCGGCCCTGGCTCCTTCCTTCCCCTCTGCTTTTCTCTCTTTTGCCCCTCCTTCCATGAGGGACACGTGTAACACAAAATTGTGAGGACATCTGTAATTTTAAATAAACTTCATTATATAATTCCCTTGAATTTTTGTCAACATTTTTATTGTTAGATACAACTTTGTTTTAAAGATAGTGAACATGGCATCTCATTTTTTTTGTTAAAAAAACTGTGAACGGGTGTGATTGGGGTATGAATTTTGATTCAATTTTTTTTGGGAAATAAATAAATAGGCATCATTCAAATATTGAAGAAGAATGCAGAAAAAAATTTAAAAATTGATTTACGGTCCCTCGATTCAACTTATAAAAATACAATAAGTATTTGGAAAGAAATAAAAGGAAAACAAAATGAAGGAATAAGAAAAAGAAAGTAGACTTTATAGATATTTTCTTTTTACTTTTAATGTCCTTTTAAAATACTAAAGGATGAATAATAATAGAAGGAATTTAATTTAATTAGGGAACAAAAATACTAAATTATGTTTGAAGGGAAACCTAGAAATACACGGATAATGTGGAAGTGAGGAGGAGACATTAGTAAAGTGGGACATGTAGAGTGGAAATAGCTGTAAGCTGAGAAAAATGAAAGAAGCTGGAAGTTGCCATGAACAGAGAAATATTATTATTTTTTAAAAAAAAATTTAATTAAAATAATAAATGAATGGAGGGGAGGGATGGGACGGAAACGCAACACGTTACGGGGAGGAATTTGAGGGGGAGAAGTTAATGAAATTGTGTTGACTTTGGATCCACTGGTTTGACTTCCGCACTGGCCACCACCACAGAAAGCTTCTTCCCTTTCGCCGCTGGCCCTCATTCTTCTTCAAGTTCACTTCAAGGGAAAGGACCTGCGGAGGAAGATAAACACGCTAAAGGGTTTTAAAAAAAATAGAAAATGGTGGTGTCTTATATTTCTGTTTTTATGTGGTTTTGCGTTAAAAAAAAAAAAATCAATGTTAGGCCTCACAAAAGGTTTTTCAACATTTCATAAATCTTGAAGGCTGCCAGTAAATTGTATAATCACTATTTAAATTTGTTAAATCGGTACTTTTTGTCGAATCAGATTAACGGTATTAAGATTAAGAAACTAAAAATATATTTTTATAATTTAAGAGAATTAAATGACACTAGAGATAATATTTTGTTTCGAGAAACATTTTCATATTAGTGGAGATATTACTCCCATTACATATTTATCTCGTATTTTATAAATTATTTTTAAAAAACTCATTTTAAAGAATCATATTGCTATTCCAAATAGACATTGCCTCGTATTCTGTAAATTATAATTGAAATTATTTTTTTAAAAACTCCCGATTCTAGATTTAAGAGATAAACCGCATAGTCTGAACTCTATGCAAATATTCTTTCAACCTAAAGCCTGTCTTCATCATGAATCATTGAAATTTAACTAACTAAACTCTTGTGGTTAGGGGATGAAAAGATTGATTTTTTTTTTTGGGCATTTGCATTTTAAATATATGTGTTCACACATCACACCATGGCCAAAAATTAAACAAATAATAAAAAATTGTGAGTTCACACCAGAAAACGCAGAAGAGACAAAGCGGGGACCCCTGTGAGAGCGGATTAGGAATTGATTAGGAGAGGGCGACTTCTGATTCTGAGTTCTGACTGAAGAAGGGCTGAAGTTACCGTTGGAGCACAGGGCGATAACATCCACAGACACACTCCCGCTTTCCTTGTTAGCTCCATGACCGTTACGTGGCCCTCTCTTTTGAATTACCACAAATGCCCTCGCTGTTCCCATCAACACGCCCTCCCTCAATTAATTGGCTCCGTTACCGTTGCTGCCCTTTCTCGCAATTTACCATTGACGCCTTTATTCCATTGCCTTTATTACAAGCTTGCCAACCCTTTCCCCCCCTTCAATTCCCGTACCACTGGCTCTAAATGTAAATTAATTTATAAGAAAAGTATAAGTTAATTATAATATATTTAATGCTTTTTTTTTAATTTTATCCTTATCTATTTTTTATTGGAAAGAGAAAAAGAATGAAGAGATTAAAAAATAGGAGAATTGCAATTAGGTCCCACTCAAGGGAATTAAATACAAAAAGATCCCTTAAAATCATAAAATTATTCTGAAGTCCCAAGGGACCTTTTTACAATAAATTTTATTTGTTTAATTACCAAATTACCTTTTTTTTTTAAAAATTTGTATTGACAACTGAAAGAGCAGTGGTTGATGACTCAGGATGCAAGGATTGGCAACTATCGCGGTTGGTTTGACAACACATTTTCTCAGCATATTACACCATAAGTTGGCAAACCAGCCGCGATAGTTGCCAATCCTTGCATCTTGAGTTGTCAACCACTGCTCTTTCAGTTGTCAATGCAAACTTAAAAAAAAAAAAAGAAGGGTAATTTGGTAAGTGAATAAATAAAATTTAATGCAAAAATTTTTTTGGGACTTTAAAATAATTTCATGATTTCAAGGGACCTTTTTGTATTTAATTTTCTGAGTGAGACCTAATTGCCATTTTCCCTAAAAAAAATTTTATAGGATGCTTGGTGAATGTAGAGAGAGAAAAAACTTTAACAAGAGTAAAATTAAAAAAAAAAGTTTCAATTTAATGCATTTCCTAACATGTAAGAATATGTTATAAGTGATTTATACGACGGAGCAGAGTGGCATTTTTTTTAAAATCATTATTGTATCACTGGCAAATTAGCACAAGATCAGGATTGCTTAGTGTTAAAAAATTCTTTAAAAACAACAATTTAATTATATTTATCAACAAAAGTATAATTTCCTTCATCTATAACATATTCTCTAAAAAATAATATTAGGATCAAAAGCAATAATTTCTTCAATTATCTTCTCAATCTCCCCCTTTGACTATTACCATAAGTCTATAAATGTCCATATCCTTACCAGCATGACCCTCCCTAGCAATTGGCTGAGGCAATTTTGGACGGCGATGACTTCCCATTTTTGTTTTCTTCGGTCTTAAATTTTAATCCACATATTATTTGTAATTAATTTTTTACGAAATTATTTATTATATTAAGTTTTCTAATCATATATGATTATGCGTCTTATTTTTTAAAATATTAGTATTTATAAATATTTAATTATAAATTCACCTGAAATATATAGTTGAAAAACTTAACATAATAGATAAAAAGAATTCCACCTAAGTTTTTTTCTTTTGATAAATCAGTGAAATTAAAACAAGCCTCATAATTTATATAGGTTCTTGTAAAATTATTCTCCAATGATATGATTCAGATTATTCTAATTATATTTTTTTCTCAGAGGACCATTTTCTTACTTTGACTTTTGACCACCTCCTCGCTCTTGAAGTCTTGAGACGGAGCAGGCCAAGTAACTTGCGCTCTTGGAGGCACCTTCGCCGTCCCATGTTTCCTTTTTACTACCAAATGAAAATGTCATTTTCTTTGAATCGGTTTTATTCTTTCATATTTTTAATTTTAATGCCAAATATCTTTTCACGGATTTTTTCCTGTTTCACATCTTTATGACAAAACTTATGATCATGAAACGCTTTAACTTAAATGGCACGGCATTAGCATCCATAACTAGTTTCAAAATTTAGGACACTTTTTTAAAGTGAAAATATCAATGTTAATGTTCTTATGGTTTTATTTCACTATGTTTTTGTAATTGTTTTCTTTCTTTTTTCTCCATACACTGAAAAGTTTTTGTATTTATTTTTCTTCTTATCAAGTTTTAAATTTTTTCTGCTTAATTTTTATGAGATTGTTGTAGTATCTTTACCAGGTCATTATAGTTTCACTATATTTTTAACTATATTTTTATATATTTTATTAGTTGCCCGAAACTATAAAGACCTAATTAAAAATCAGAAAAATTATAAAGATATGATAAAAAAATAATGATTAAACTCAGCTGAAACCATAAGAACCTGATTTAAAAAAAACTAGAGTTAAGGTGCCAAAAAAGGCCACCAACTTTCAAAACTACCCCAAATACCGTATACTTTTCTCATGTGCAAATTTACCTATTAATGTTCAAAAGCAGAGCAAAAAAAAAAAAAAAACCACTGCCATTAATCCCAGTTACATTAGCCATTAGAGAAAGAGATTTTGACTGAAAATGCTGATGTGGATGCACACGTGGCCATGCTTGATGTTTCGATGCTCTCTGTCAGTTATAAGCAAAAATCAAAAGTTAGAAAACACTAGTTGAAGTCCAGATGATGAGGCTAGGAGTGCTCGCTGGAGAAGAAGGTAGCAAGATCTGGGTATTTTGCACAAATAACGCACTTGATTCTTTATTTATTTATTTTAGTGAAAATCTAGTTCTTTATGTTTTTTATTTGAGTTAAAATTTGGTTAGGTATTGGGAAAATTTTTCTAGGTATTTTGGGTGGAAGAAGCTATCGGTAATGCTGGATGAGCTTTACTTCTGTTTTTCACTTCTTCCATCTTTAATTCTTCAATCTTAGTTACGCTTCAGGACCGTTGATTGCCAACTTTTTTTATTCTTCAATTTTTTATTTTTCTATTTCAGTTTTTAATTACAACTTGATTTGACTTTGTTGACATGGGATGATTTTTCATTTGATTTATTGATTGTTGATATGCCTTGATCTCTATTCATACAATATGCTGCTGGTTTGAAGAAACATGATTATGTTGGGATGGGTGATCGATAAAAATAAGGGCGTTTTTGAGAAAGTAGAGAATTATGTTGACTTGGATACTGGCAAGGCCTGAAGTGAGGGACGTTAGGCTTGGGTAATGGAATTGTCATTTTTGCTCTGCTTTTGATCATTCATAGATA